TAATGAAGTTTTTCTTTCTTTTGTAAAACAAACAAACAAACAAAACAAGCTATTTACATTCAACAGTTCTCCTGTTCCTTCTTGGATCCATCTAGAGCTTTCTGCCACCCTGGGCTTGGGAAATGGACTTTGTGGCTTTCTGTCATCTTTTCCAGCATCCTCAGCTCACTCATAGAACGGCATTCGGACCAGAAGAGAGGTATGCTACCAGATGGGTGGGCTACGTGGAGACTTTAAACGGGGCACGGCCTTTTATATACGTTCACTTGTAGAACCCCATAGCTTGTTGCCCTCTTGCCCTTTGATCTGCGTTAGCCGCTGCTTCTTCAGTTCCTACACCGGAGGCTCCCTGACTCTGCCTCTGAGTCTGGAGCACCATGGAGTACTCGGGCCTATTTCTGCCTCCTTGCTTCTTGCAGTGTTGTCTGAAATCACTGCCTTTTCTGTCCTTTGCTCTGGGACAGTGCAGGGAGAGGACCTGAGCATCAGAGTCAAACTGTAAAACTGTTTTCTTCTTTCCCACCTGATGGACCCTCAGGGGGGTCTCCAAGTCAACAGGCTGTCTGTGTAGGTCGTACCAAGGAGCCAAACATGCTTTCAGTTTTCCAGGGAGCAAGAAGGGGATATGGGGGAGGAGCAGAGTTGTTTGGATTCCTCCTAGAGAGTCACCTATGCTGATGGCATCAAGTCTGGGGGTTCAGTTGACCCTGGAGTGTCTGGGGAGGAGAGATAGGCATCTAGATGATGATGATGATGATGATGATGATAATGATGATGAAGATGATGATGAGGAGGAGGAGGAGGAGGATTTTGGTAAACTCAGCATCTCCAAAGACAGGGTTACTTTCAAATGTCAGAAATGTATTTCTTATAATTCTGCAGGCTGAAAAGTGGAAGTCTAATTCAGTGATCGGAGAGGATTGCTTCTTGGTTCATGAACAGCTCTCTTCTCATTGTGTCTTCATGTGGAGGGAAGGGTGAGGGAGACCTGGGGCTTCTTTCATAAAGACACTAATACCATTTGTGAGGGCTTTGATCTCATGACCTATTCATCTCCCAGAGACCCCGCCTCTGAATGTATTACCCTAGGGGTTAAGGATTTCAACAGACAGATTTTGAGTAAAACACACAAATTCAGTTCAGCATTTAGTAAATGTCTAGAAACCGATTCAACCCCCACCCACCAGCCCAGGGAGGCTGGAGGAAGTCAGGGCTGATCACAGAAAATATACAAGGGCAGGTCATTGTGGTTAGTTGACAGACGTTTGAGAAGCATTTCATGCTGAGTCTATGGGCAAAAATACTTCCCTATGAGCTAATTTTATTGCTACAATGAACCTCATCTCTCTGAGTCAGAAGGTCATCTTCTGCAGCAGGCATGAGGCTGGGAATCAGGGGAAAGCAGAACCAATGGGCCTCCAGAGGGAATTTTATATAGCTCTTGCCTCGATTCCATTAGGTCCAATTGATTAATAGCTAACAATGATCGAATGTTCATTATCTACAAGCACCATTTGAAGAGTATTCTCTGCTAAACCCTCCCAAACACCCATCACATTTGTTTTTATTCCAGTTTAGTGGGTGGAAAAACTAAGGCCCAGCGTTACCTGTTGAGTTGACAGAGCTGAGCTACACATTCAGCTTCAGATTAAATGCCAAGGTCAGTTTCTCATTCCCCACGATCAATGACTGTCTGTGCTATGCTGGAGTTCACAGGTGCCTGGAGTCACAGGCTACTGGATGCCACTTCAGACCATCTCAGTAGTCTCTGTATGTGTGTGTGAGAGAGTGTTTGTGTGTGCACATGTTTGTGCATGCATACATGTGTATGTGTGCATGTCTGTATGTGCATAGGTGTTTTGTTTGATGTGTGTGTGTTTGTGCATGTGTGTGTGTGTGTGCGTGTGTGTGTGTGTGTGTGTGCGTGTGTGTGTAGGTCAGAGATCAGTCCAAGATATCATTGCTCAGGAGCCATCCACTGTTGTTGATCTTTTTGATTTTTGGTCTTTCTTTCTTTCTTTCTTTCTTTCTTTCTTTCTTTCTCTCTCTCTTTCTTTCTTTCTTTTTCTCTTTTTAATCTTTGACTCTTGGGAGGCTCCCACTACTCAGTTTCCAAGTAAACACACACAGAGGCTTATTCTTCTTCATAAATACCCCAGTCTTAGCTTGACTTATTTCTTTCTTCTTTTTTTTCTTAGTTATAAACTGATTGGCCCATTAACTCAGGCTTCCTATTAACTCTTGTAACTTACATTAGCCCATTATTCTTGTCTATGCCAGCCACGTGGCTCAGTACCTTATTCAGTGAGGCAGTCACATCTTACTTCTTCTGTGTTTGGGTCACGGCTACGGACCAAGCTTTTCTCTTCCCAGAATTTTCCTGTTCTCATTGGCCCACCTCTACTTCCTGTCTGGTTGTCCCACCTATATTGTCTGACTAGCTACTGACCAATCAGCATTTATTTAAAATACAATTGACAGAATATAGACTATTGTCCCACACCACTTCCCCCTCTATTTTTCTTTCTTTCTTTCTTTCTTTCTTTCTTTCTTTCTTTCTTTCTTTCTTTATTCTTTCTTTATTTCTTTCTTTCTTTTAAAAAAAACAAGAACTCTGAATCCAATATCCTTTGTTTAGCTTTTCTCCTGACCATTAGCCACAACAACTTGTAACCAACATTCTAAACAAAGGAAAATACCCATAGTCCATTTTTGGGGAATGTGGGTGTAGTTTTCCAGGCTACTTCCTGCTGGTTGGGGTGCTGATAATCTTATGCGGACCTAAAGAAAATTTACAATTATGATCAAGTCCTGACTTGAGTATCATGTGAGACTTGATCATCTCAGGCAGCAGTCTTGAATCTGTTCTGGATGCAGAACTCAGACGTCTGGTCCTTCTGTTCCTACTGGAGATTTCTCAGGTGATCTTTCCTGATCAAACCTGATTTTTCCTAACTCAGAATGAATCCACAGCCTCTCATTTTCTGTGGAAACAAAAGCAAATTCTCTTCTCCAAAGTAATATGCCTTTTTACTTCAGTTTTGAAGTCAAAGTATTTTCAAACTACCTATCTTGTATTAATTCAACAACATTTATAAACAAATATCTTTTAGTAGCTATTGTTTTTTCCTCAACATTCAAACAATTCAAAGAGAACATAATAACATACAGTATCCAGATTCTCTGTGTGTTTTTCATCTTTATGTGGCTTTATTTTAACCTCTATTTCTTTTATTTTTATTTTTAATTTTTGGCTTTTTTAAAGATTTATTTATTATGCATTTATTTATTATGTATATATTCTGCTTGCATGTGTACCTGCATCCCTGAAGAAGGAACCAGATCTCAATCTCATTATAGATGGTTGTGAGCCACCATGTGGTTTCTGGGAATTGAACTCAGGACCTCTGGAAGAAGAGTCAGTGCTTTTAACCACTGAGCCATCTCTCCACCCCCTAATTTTTGGCTTTTTAAGACAAGGTTTCTCTGTGTATCTTTGTCCTGGAACTCACTCTGTAGACCATGTTGTCCTTGAACTCACAGAGAACCACCTGCCTCTGTCTCCCATTTAGAGGTTTTCTTCATCTTTGAATCTCTCTTTACTATATCTCTCTCTTTCTATCCACATGAGACTTTAATTTGCTAAGTGATATGGATAAGATTAAAGCTGTGATTTTGATGGCTGGATCCAGCCCATTCCTTAGCTTTCTGAGATTCCAGCCTCATGGCAGAGGTACTGGCCAGAGCCATGCTTTTTGCCACAACTCTATGACATTTCAAGGCACGTGCCACCACCAAGAAGCATGCTGTAGGCTATTCAAACAACATTTAAGTGTTTTTTGGCAGAGCCTCTTAAAAGGACTAAAAAGTTTTTGCAGCTAAAGCTGAGTCAGGAAGAAACTCTTAAATGAGATGCATTTGCCTCTAACAAACAGAGTCCACCTGAGAAAATGCTGCTATCAATAAGCTGTGCTTAACTCTATTCTTTTTTGTCTAGAAGTACTTCCCAACCTCTCTCAGGCTTTATGTGGATTTAGTTGACCACCAGGGTGCCATTTGTTGTCAGAGTTTTCTGTTAAGTCCCAAGGCAATCACACAGAGGCCTACATTAGTTATAAGCTGATTGGTCCATTATCTCAGGCTTCTTATTAACTCTTATAACTTAAATTAGCCCATTATTCTTGTCTATGCTAGCCATGTGGCTCTGGACCTTATTCAGCGAGGCCATCACATCTTACTTCTTCTGTATCTGGGTCATGACTCAGCTCAACTTATTTCTGGCCAGTTTTTCTGACTTAAATTATCCCATCTACCTTTTGCTTGTAGGCTTTTATCTTTACTTCTTAACTTTTTACTTCATGACTGTCTGTGTGACTGGGTGGCTGGCCCCTGGTGTCCTCCTCTTCTTCTTTTCTTGTTCCTTCTTCCTCTCTTCCCAGATTTCTCCTCCTATTTATTTTCTCTGCATATCAGCCACACTTATTTCTCTCTCCTGTCTAGCTATTCGCTGTTCAGATCTTTATTAGACCAATCAGGTGTTTTGGGCAGGCCAAGTAACACAGCTTCACAGAGTTAAACAAATGCAATATAAAAGAATGCCACACATCTCTGCATCATTAAAACAAATGTCCCAGTATAAACAGATGTAACACATCTTAAATTAATATCCCACAACAATCACCCTGTTTTTTGACTCAGGGTCTCTCCCTGTAACTCAGGGTTCAACCATCTGACTGGCTTGGTTGACCTTCAGACTCCAGGAATCTGCCTGTCTCTATTTCCCAGTGCTGGATTACAAGTGTGTGCCTGGTTTTTCATGTTGAACGCTGGGGTTGAAGTCAGGTCCTCAATGCTTGCACAGTAAGCTCCTTACTGAGCCATCTCCCTAGCTCCCCAGCTCAGTCTTGGAGGTGGCCCTGACCATCTCTTAGGAAGCCTCCTGTATTAATGAGCTCCAATGTGTCATCACTCAGAGGTAGTACAGGCTGAGCCCATGGAGCTATAATGCAAACTACATTTTTATTGTACATGTTCTAGTAGACACATTAAAAATAAAAGGAGACAGGTATTGTAACAAGGCTATTGACATAAAATATTTGAAGAATTACATCACACTAGTACATTGGTGCTTAGAACAAAATTACTCCAAGTCAATCCACTGACACCAACATAGTGAGTGACTTTTGATCTGTTTTTAATATTAGAAATGACACTTCCTCCTGACACACCTGAGACACGTATTACCATGCAGCAGTTATGTCTTATGTGCTCCTGTATTAAAGCAAAATGTAGTACTATCGAATTAAGCAATGAAGTATCAAATGCAAAAAGAGGGCCCATACTACTTTCATTTTCAAATTTGAATAAAATAAAACAAAATTTGGATCCTCAGTGACTTTGGCCACACTTTATGTGCTCAGTACCACCTGTGATTGGCAGCTGCTCTCTCAGAGTGAGGGTCTTCATGGTGGAAGTTTACACACCCCATGCAGAGAGGGGAGAGGCTAGGCTAAAAGAGGGTCTGTGTAGGGAAGGTGTGGAGATGGGCAGAGTGACGGGGGTCATGGACAAGGGAAGTGGGAAGGAGGGTGGCCTCTGCGGAGCCACCTGAATCAGCTGACAGAGTAGATGGCCGTGAAATGGATCGGAGGCAGGAGGACCTCACTCCTGGGCGAGAGCAAAGCTTTGGACTACAGTGAGGACTGAGAGCGAAGGAGAAGACCTAACTGCAGGGCACAAGGAGGATGTCTCCGAGCCAGCAGAGGACATGCGGAAAGGGACCAAGCCAGAGGAGAGAGCTGAGCGTGATGCTAGGTTTAAGGAACCTGGAACAACAGAAAACGCTAATGCCCAGGAGGGAAGGATGAAGCTGCTGGGAGGGGCGGGGGAGACACAGAAGAGGTTCTCAGAAGAGACTGGGTTCGTGATGAACTCTCGCTTGGCCCTCCGTTGCCCCCCTGACTTCTCTCTCCTTCCCTTCGTCCTCCTTTTCCTCCTCCACTTGAGGAAAATGATATGACTAGAGCCCCTGCCATGAACCAGAGACCTCTAAGTTAACGGGTGTTTTCCAGGCCCAGGGAATCATCAAGGAGAAGTCTTGAGACCATCCTCATAAAAAAACATGCATCCTTTGACCATATCTGGGGTTCCTGTAGGAATTTGGCCTACCTGGGGGAGTTCAGGCATCTGAAGGGGACAAGAGTAAATGCAGTTTAAAACTGTTGGAAGTGTGGTTTGGAACACTAGAGATTAACATCACATTCATGACCCTTATGTTCCATCCCATAGTAAGTAAAGTGAGGCTCAACACAATAGAGCCACTTGTCAGTTATACAAATGGAGGAGCAGGATTTGATTTGCACAGGTGCACTGACCGTGGTCAGGTAACTCATGGTCCTGGCCTTCCCTTTCCTGAGGGTACTTGACCTCTCCAGACCTTCTTCCCTGAAGGGCAGGCTCTTCCCAGAGTAGACAGCTCTCAAAATATGCTCTAAAGCAATGGTTCTCAGCCTGTGGGTTATGACCCCTTGGAGGTGGAACAGCCTTTGGCAGGGGTCACCTAAGACCGTTGGGAAATACAGATACTTATATTATGATTCATACCAGTAGCAAAATGACAGTTATGAAGTACCAACGAAAGTGATTTTATGGTTGGGGGTCACCGCAGCCTGAGGAACTGTGTTAAAGGATCGCAGTGTTGGGAAGGTTGGGAATCACTGCCCTAGAGGCTTCCCTTCTACAGGAGGGAAGGGTGACATGGTGGATCAGTGAGTGGATCCAAGGCACTGAAGAGGGTGGAAAGAAAGGGCCCGACTCCCTCTCCCTTCACCCCATAGATGGAGCAGCAGGAGAGGCACCTCCCTTCACACGTCTCTCTTCATCGTCCATTTGAGTCACGGCTTCAGAGGATCTGCTTTCCGTTGTGAATTCCACGCTTTGAAGAGAGTATTCTAGTACAGGCACCCCTGGCAAGAACGTCCCAGAGAAAGGTCCTCACATGAAATAGGAGCTGGGGGCAGCGAGAGAGGTGATGGAGAGAAGGAGCGGGGAAATCCTGCACTGCTGTGTACCGCTGCTCAGGGGATTTTACTCCAGGCTTCCAGAGCCAAGTGAATATTGCTTATTCATGTGCAATCTAATCTTCCCCTTGGCCCAGAGGCTCAGGGCAGGCAGCAGGAGGAACTGGTTGGAGGGGGGCAGGCGAGGCGACGCTTTGTCCCTGAACAGGAGCTTCATATGTTAGGTTAGGAAAAAAAGGTATTCCCTAACATGGCCTGGATTGCTGTGAGGGCAGCGATAGGGAGGGGTAAGTGTTGAGTAGACGCGGGCTGGTGATGGGACCCAGGGTTCCTTGGTAGAGCGAAGAAGTGGTTTCCAGTCGGTAGCTCCAGAGGCCTCCTCTCTCCCGTGCTCCTTTGGGAAGACACCGCACTGGAGTTCTTTAGGCGGAGAACATCTTAATAAGCCACACCTGCAGTGATGGATGTCAGAGGAAGAGCCCGGAGCTATGGCTCGACCACCCTGAAGCTCCACTCACTGACGTGATAATTCACAGAGGGGCCGGGGACGATTTCCCAACTGCGGCTAACCAGGTCTGTTGAAGACCTGAAAACGGCCACTTGGGACTACTTTTACGTTCCGCTCTCGGCTTAGAAGCAAATGGCTGAGAGACCTGGACAGGGATCAAACAAATGTGCGAAGAATCGCGCGCCAGGAACAGATCTGCTGTTGCTTCCCACGGAGGGCCCAGCTTGTTCCCCTCCAGCCACACAGGAGGGGGACATCAGAGAGGGCTGCAGCTGGCCTGGGTTTGGGGAACGGTTCCAGTACACAGACATCATGGAGTGTCAGGCTGTCACCTCTGTAGGACACAGTGATTAAACAAGAGAGAACAAGCAGTCCATTCTTTGACCCGGTGGAGGCTAAGGGGCTTGTGACCAGAGGCCTGCTCTGTCCCCACAGGAGCCTTTAGTAGTATAGGTGCAGAGAGCCCTGTTTGTTCCAGGGGCAGGAAGGACCCCCTAGAACCACTGAGTGAATGAGAAGGTACCTCTTACCACTGTCTTTCTTCGCCTGCTGTCAAAGGAGTAATGTGCAGTGGTTTTGTTTACATCAAAAGCCACTGAGTTGGAGCTGGGGAAAAGGCCCAGTTGGTGAAATGCTTGCTGTGTAAGTCCAAGAATCTGAGTTCGATCCCCAGGACCCATGTAAAAAGAACCATCAGGCCTGCTGGCCCATGCTTGTCATCCCAGCACCGAGGAAACATCTTGAGGTCTGTTAGCCAGCCCACCTAGCCTAGCTGGCAAATCCTACGTAAAAATGAGAGACCTTGTTTCAAAAAGAAAGGTGGGTACCCTCTTGAGGGTCAATACCCAAGCTTGACCTCTGGCCTCACTGAGCACATGAACATGTATGCATGAGCACTTGCACACACATGTGGTCACAAGCTTCCTTCCCATACCCAAGAGAACATTTACACACACACACACACACACACACACACACACACACACTCACGCATACCCAAAGTAGGTGTAGGGCTGGCATCCTGTAGTTATCTAACCATGGAAAAGACGAGTTGCCATTTTCAGAGCAGAAGGGTAATATTCATATCTAGAAAAGCATAGATGACATATTCAATCTCCTAGCAGTCATCGGTGCAGCAATGCAGTTTCTCTTTACCTTGACTGAGAGTCACAAGTATAGACTCTTAGAGACAGAGGGGACCTTGAGGGACATGTAGTTCTAACCTCCCCTCTCTCACAGGAAGAAGAGGTCTGTCCCGGGTCACTTAGCTCTCACGTAGCTAGTGGTGCATAGCTGATCCGGAACTTTGGTGACTCTGACTCTAGGCCTCAGCTTTTTCTCCTGCTCTGTATGTTTCTCTTCTGACTTCACTCCTACTCATAAACACAGTCCCCAGGATCAAAGACTCTTGCAACTCTTACCCAAAATAAACCCAGGACATTTCACTATAGGTCTGAGTTACTTAAGGTCAATTCTGGGTGAATTATTAATTTGCTGATGACATTATTGGCCGGCCATGCTAGCTAATTTCATGTCAGCTTTATACAAGTGAGAGTCATCAGAGAGAGGGAGCCTCAATTGAAAAAGTATCTCTATAAGGTCTGGCTGTAGGGCATTTTCTTAATTAGTGGCTGATGGGGGAGGGGCCAGCCCATTGTAGGTGGGGCCATCCCTGGGCTGATGGTCCTGGGTTCTATTAGAAAGCAAGTTGAGCAAGCCGTGAGGAGCAAGCCAGTAAACGGCACTCTTCCATGGCCTCTGCATCAGCTCCTGCCTCCAGGTTCCTGCTCTGCTTGAGTTTCTGTCCTGACTTCCTTTAATAATGAACTGTGATGAGAAAACATAAGCCAAACTGAACCCTTTCCTCCCCAAGTTGCTTTAGTTATGGTATTTCTTCATAGCAATAGTAACTGTAACTCACTCTGTAGACCAGGCTGGCCTTGAACTCACAGAGATCTGCCCGCTTCTGCCTCCTGGGTGCTGGGATTAAAGGCATGTGCCACCACTGCCCGGCTCTTAGATTAACTCTATATGTGAGGCCACTAAAACTGATGGAGGAGGAACAACTTTCCCAAAGCCACAAAGTCAGGCAGCACCAGAGCGAGAGAAATGGAATTTGAACCCTTACTTATCTGGCACTAAACTACATATCTCTAACTCCAGCCTAATCTCCATCTTAGAATCTGAAACAGTGTCAGCCCTTGCCACAGAGCTCCTGTCTATCTGTCACCTTTTCTCATGGCTATGACTAAACAGCCCACAAAAAACAGTTTAAGCAAGGACCGACCTGGTTTTCGTCTTGTGGTTGGAGGTTCCCGTCCATCACAGTGGGGGAGGTGGGGAGGAAGGAACAGTTCAAGAATGGGAAGGCAGGAGAATGAGTCTGCTGGCTCACATCATCTTCAAGATGAAGCAGAGACAGAAGAGAAAGTGAGTGGGGGTAAGCTAGAACCTCAAGTTCTGCCCCTCAGACATCTACTTCCTCCAACTAAACTCTGCCTCTTAAAGGTTCCACAGCTTCCCCAGATAGCACCACTATCTGGAGAAAAAGTGTTCAATTACACTAGCCTGTTGGGTTCTTTTCACACGCAAACCATAAGTGTTTGGACTTCGAACTCACAAATCCATCAGCTAAGTGAACTTCCTCCTTGATAGAATGCCAGGTATTCAAAATGCTGACTAACATAAAAGAGAGCATTTCCTCACTTTCTGGACGAGGAAAATATGGATATTATCTTTAAAAACCCTCAAGATGTAGAAAAACTACAAAAAGACAGACTGTCAAGAAGAGGTAAGAGACAGATCAAGGGAGTACAGTTTAAAACAGACTCAGGATATATCTGCTCATCACATCATGATAAACGTAACACAAAACTCTGAGAAAAGGATAATTGATGTTAGTCCAATAGAACATTGTTTTATGCTATTTATTTTATTTTTTGAGACAAGATCTTGCTCTGTAGCACGATTTGGCCTGAAATTCACTATGTAGTCCCAAGGGAAAGGGGCTCATACTTGTGGCAATCCTTCTGCCTCAGCTTTATAAGTGCTGGGATCACAGACTTGAGATATCACAAGTATCTAATAAGATATCCTCTGTCCTGGATGGAGGCAAAGAAGTTTTATCCCTACCTCACATCAAAATAAATTGTAGTCCTAAGTAAGAGACAAAATATAATAGAAATCATTTGGAAAAAGCAGGAAGATTTTGTTGTTGTTGTTTTTGAGACAGGGTTTCTCTGTATAGCTCTGGCTGTCCTGAAACTCCCTCTGTAGATCAGGTTGGCCTTGAACTCACAGAGATCTGCCCACCTCTGTCTCCCAAGTGTTGGGATTAAAGGGGTGTACCACCATACTCAGCCAACAGAAAGTTTTCATGATTGAATGCAGATAAAGCTTTCTTCTACAGGCTACAAAAGATCAAAATGGAAAAGTAAATTAATTTCATTGCATTAAAATTAGGAACTTAAATTATTAAAAAGCCTGAAAGAGTAAAAACATCAAGCTTATGGAATAGATAAATCTACTCGCAAAACATCTATCAAAAGATTCATACCCAAAATGTGTAAAGCATCTTGTAAGTCAATAAGGAAAGGTGAGATAACTTAGTAGAAAAATGTGCCAAAAGACTTGACTTGGAGTGCGGTGGTGGCGCAGGCCTTTAATCCCAGCTCTCAGGAGGCAGAGGAAGGTAAATCTCTGTGAGTTCGAGGTCAGCCTGGTCTATAAGAGCTAGCTCCAGGACAGGCACCAAAACTACAGAGAAATCTTGTCTCTGAGTGGGGGTGGGAAGACTTGACTTGGTCTTTCTTAATGGAAGATTTCCAAGTAATCCCCCACAAAAACTCAAACAAACAAACAAACAAAAAAACCCAACTCCAACTTTTTGGTCATCATAGGTTTGTAAATTAAACCACGGTGAGATACTACATTTTCATCAAAATGACTACGATGGAAGAGACAATAGGCAAGTATAGAGAACATAAGAACACCAGAATTCTCAAACACAAGGTAGGAATATAAATAGGAACAGATACTTGGAAAAATGATTTGGCAGTATTTGCTAGTGCATAATATACATAGATCTTATATGCTTTTATAATCAACAGAGAAAAAAGGTATACACATACTTATTAACACAGAGACATACACACAGACACAGATAGACACACACACACACACACACACACACACACACACAAAGAATGCTCAGAAGAACATTTTATATGTGGTAAATAATAGAAGCCACCCAGTGCTCATAAATAACAGCATAGATAAGTAAGTTGGGATCAGTCACAAAGGGGACACTATAGAGAATGCGTGAATTATAGCCAATTCAATTACATGGATGAGTCTCCCCAGTTCAAAGCTGAAGGAAGAACACAGCTACAACTGGGAGCATACTGCATGTCTCACTTACAGAAGAGTCAGAAGTAGGCACCACCACCAATCTACAGTTAGGACAGTGATCATACAGTAACACTGTGGTAGGAGAGGAACAGGAGGTGGCCTCTGGAGGGGCTGGTTGAATATTATGTTTCTTGGTCTAGTTCCTGGGCTCATGGATGGGCATAAGTGGTAACATTTGCTGAGTGGTACTTTCCTATCAAATTTTCTTCACTTCTACCTTGATTCCCCCCCACTTCTTACAAAACTTGGAAAGTAGGCAGAGAGGCTAAGGAGATGGCTTAGTGGGTAGGAGAGCTTGCTGTGCAAACATGAGGACCTGAGTTCAAATCTCCAGCATCCATGTAAGAAAGGGGCATGGACAGAACACACATGACTATAACCCAGAGCTGTGGAATGTGCAGCAGGATCCCTGTGCCTCGCTAGCCACCAGCCCATCTCCAAGTTCAGTGAAAGACCCTGTGCCAAGGGAAAAAGATGGGGAAAGATAGAGCAACACCCTGGATATAGTCTTCTGCCCTTCTCATGTGCGCATGCAGGAGCATGCACCTGCAAACACACACACACACACACACACACACACACACACACACACACGCACACACAAAGAAAAATGAGGAGAAACAGAGGTAACATCATCTGCTTGTTTATTCTTATTTTAGGCTTGCCACTTTGCTAGGTATCTGCGGTCCTCCCAACCACCCTACCACTCAGGTCTTAGATGCTTAGCTAATGCTGAGGAAATGGATGTGCAGAGGCTACGAACCGAGACCCCATTTCATGCACTGACATGGGATGTACATGGACTCATCTTTGCTTCACATTCTGCTGCTTTTGAGGCAAGAGCTCTAACTTCAGAGTTCAGAAATCTTGCTTGTTCTGTCATTCATTCTCCATGATCTTGCACAAATCACTCTTCTGGCTGGTTCTTCGTCCTTTGACTTATATATAATTCAGGGAATTCGAGCAGGAGTAGCGAAGGTGATAATGGCAGAGGGACCGATAGTGTACATAACACATGTGACCTAGAGCCTTGTACTCAGCCAACACAGTGTGCTTTTCTCCGTTTAAAACTGACTAGCCACACATGCCCTTCTGCGCAGGGAGCTGAAAAGCAAAGCAGAGTTTACCATGCTCCCCTACTGGGTGTCACTCTTCTAGGAGAATCAAATGGAAAGGAACATCAAGGGCAACTTTGGTGGGAAAAGGGGCAATGTTCAGCCCCAGGGTGTATGTGAAGGGAATTAGAATGCCCTGCTCTGGAATTGAGGGAGTTTACTGGGGATCCCATGCAAATTAGTTCTAGCTTGGTGATTTTAACATCAGCTAACAAACTTGAGTCCATTTTGTCCTTGACAGGAGGAGGTGGAAGTATCTGTGGGAGTGGAGAAGGGGGGCTCTCAAAGGCTGCAAGAGCTGCAGGAGCTGCAAGAGCTGCAGGAGAGGGGGCTCTGCAGTTCCTTTTCACAGAGAACTGAGATCAACTTTCTATTAGTCCTCCAAGAACAGTCAGGAAGGTGACTGGAAGGTAAATAGCATCTGTATTTGTTCAACGTCCAGTCTCCGCTCCCCAAATTTCAGGATGTCTGCTGAGGCACTGTTAGTTCCTGGGGGGTAAAAGCAGGGGTGCAGGACACTGGTGCTGTAGGTGTGCCCTTCAGGGAAGAACAGAGACGGTGTTTCCTGTGAGCATACAGTCATAGCTACTTTCTGAATGTGAGGTCCACGAGAAACTAGCTAACAGTCCCTCTCTTCCCCAGCTTTACTTGGAGGGCCATCTAAAAGCCCTTTTCCTCCAGAAGGCTCAGTGGTCCATGCTATGGGACCAGTGGGAGGAAACGAGGATCTTTAGGAGGGAGGAGAGGGGTTGGGGAGATGGGTAATGAGCAGGAGCCAGGCTCCATGCCGTACTCACTTCTGCTATAGAAGTCTTCATTGCTGTGTTCCTAAATTGTACACATTGATCTGCTGTGCATAGGGTTGCATAGGGGGTTGGCACGTTGATCTGCTGTGCATAGGGTTGCGTAGTGAGTTGGCATGTTGACCTGCTGTGTATAGGGTTGTGTAGGGGGTTGCCATGTTGATCTGCTGTGTGTACGGTTGCATAGGGCATTGGCACTTTGATCTGTTGTGTGTAGGGTGGCATAGTGAGTTGGCATGTTGATCTGCTGTGTATAGGGTTGTGTAGGGAGTTGACACCTTGATCTGATGCGTGTAGGGTTGCATAGGGGGTTGGCACGTTGAGCTGCTGTGTGTAGGGTTACATAGTGGGTTGACAGGGGCACTCGAGTGTAGCAGGCCTACATGGGATTACAGATACTTGGGTTTGGGTTTAAGCGAGCTGTGAGCTGAGGGATGACCTGACACAGGGATCCCAAGTGTCTGTTTCCCTCCAAACAAGTCCTCTTGGAGATTAGAGCTGTCAGTCAAGGCTGCCCAAGTGTCCCCCCCCCCCCCAACGCTGTCGTCCTGCCCTTGAGGAGAGGAGAGATGGGTGGGAGTGAGCCAAGCAGCCTGGACGCTTGGCGTAGGAGGTTGGGGGTGTGGGATGCTTCTACACTGTTCTGATCTATGCCGGTCAGGGTTATGAACCTTTTTTCCCCTGAGAAAAGATCCCGGCTCAGGACTCTGGGTATAGCCTATCTCCTTTTTATTTTTTCTAGTATTAGTATCTTGATTAATCAAAGACCAATTGTTTGTTTGTGTTTTGTTTGTTTTTAAACTGCCCAGCCTTCACATGCCAACCCTCTCTTCTCCGAGAGTGACTTTGATGGAAGCCTGAAGTTTTAAGGGTCAGCAGTTTTCTAGTGACTTGTTATTAGAAAATGTAGCATTTCCCCTAAATGAGACAAAGGTCCCTCCCTCCTCCCTATTCCTCTTCTCCCCTCCCCCTCCCCCTCTCCTGGTGTGTCATAACTCTAAAAAAGTCTGCAAGATACTGTTATTTATTCTTCTCCATTCTTCCTTCAACTCAATTTTGGGCAGAGGCCAAAA